TTCTTTGGAGAGTACCAGGCAAGCTATAAAATCTCCTTGCAAGCTGCAGCTAACTCCCTGGGGTAGAAGTTTGCTGTGTTTTAATCCCTCTGCATGCATGATAGCAAAGAGTAGCAGTAGTGCAAATGTAGCATTGCTTCCCAGAAAGGAAGACTGTATAAAAAGAGAGCTGAGAGGATAGTCGCCTAAATTCACTGTGTGTGTTTGTTAATCTGAGTCAGTTTTCACCCATCTTGAGAGCTGTCATGAGAGGGCAGTTAGGAGAAAAGCAGATTAACTCTGAAAAGAGTAAGGGAATCAGAAAAGAAAAAAGGCTGTAAGTGTAAGTGAATAATGGAAAATGCTTCTAGAGTTAGAGGCAAAGGTATGTGAAAGAACAAGCAGGAAAGGAAATGCCACAAGATAAATTTTCTTCTGTATCTACAGTGATCAAAGTCTCAAACTCTCAAACACTGTTTCCATTTCTGGCATAACTTGGCTCTGTGACCTTGATAAAGCCTGGTTCCCTGAAGATGCCATCTGAGAAACACTGTTAGTTCTTCTGCCATTTGAGCTAAGCTGTAGTAAGATACTAGGAGAGAAGAAATTTATTATTTGCAAGGAAGGAAATGACAGACTAAGTGACCTCCATCTGCAAAAAGTTATTTCAGTGTGTATAAAGAATTTGATAGACATTTTTTGACAGTAAGAGGAGATTCAGACGTACTGCAGCATGTTGAAGTATCTTAGTTTCAGCTGTCTAACTTGTTCAGAATATCTGTGAGCTTTTATTGAGCATCGTCTGCAAAGTATCTTCATACTAACTGGAAAAGATCTACAATGTCTCCTGAATGTACATTGAATGAACAAGTGAAAGTGTTTAACCGATAGATGAGTAGGGTGTATATATACTGACATTTTTCTTCAGAAAGGTTTCACTGAGTAATGTATCTTGAGAGAATAGCCAAGAGGGATGAGAAGCTCTTCCAACTGCTTATCCCCTTGCCTCTAAATAGCAATCACTGTATGAGAGAGCCCTTTAAAAAAAAATTACAGATTCATTATTTCTTAATAGGATTCATATGTTAGCTTTCTTTTTGTGCAGAAAGTTTTGTACAGTTCTGCTTTCTGTGCTGAAGTTGGAAACTTCAAATAGAAACTTAACACTTCTCATATTAACTTACTTCTATTTTATTGAAAAGAAATATCAAGTGCTTATTGAAGTGATCAAATACAGATACTTCTTGCTTCCATCATTATTGATGTGAAAAGCTGATTTTTATTTTTTTAGACCTTTTAGAGGTAAATGCTGTGCAGACTACACAGGTACTTCCAAAGAAATCCCAGAGCATTCAAGGTGGAGCAACAGGCACCTGAAGCAAATCTCCTGAGGGTGAGGGAGGGAGTAATTGATCACAGAAGTAACTGCATGGTATCTTCTATGCTGCCTGCATGCAAAACCTACCTGCTTATGGAATGCTATGTTTATTTCACAGAAATCAAGAATTTGTCTTTGAAAATTTTAGGCCAGGATTTTACCATTTCTGGGATTGTATGTTTGGTTGTTGTTTCTTTTTTTGTTTGTTTGGGGGTTTGTTTTGATTTTTATTTTGTTTTGTTTGTTGGTTTGTTTGTTTTTAATAATGAATTTAAATTGACACAGGTAATAATATATTCTTTAGCAATCATAACTGTTTAGCTTGGGGGAAAAATTCGCTGTTTCTCATTCTAGTTTCTGTTTCTACAATTGTACTACCCTCTGTGCTAGCTAGTACAAGTGAATGCTGTCAAAAATGCATCATACATTAATCCATCTTGAGAGCTCTCTTGAGGTACTTTGATTTGAACATGGCTTATCTTTAGACCATAGGGTCCTGGATGCTCAGCTACTGTACTCACTGACTTCTTTGTATTATGAGAAAAAATGATAGTATTCTCTGCATTTGTGCCAAAGATGTTTTCCCTTAAAAGAAAGAGCCATAAAAAGGGAAGCATTTAGAACCTTTCAAATTAAATCAGTCACAGAGCAAATAAATTTATTCTAAAAGTGAACAAAATGAGCCTTGTTTGTTTTAATGAGAGAGAGATTGACATCAACCACTACATTTTTTTTCTACTCAGGCCTTCAACAAGGAAAAGTGGTTAGCGTGATACAAACGAGGGTGTTGTGGCAAGGCCATCATTGGAAATGATAGGTAAATCTTAGAGAACACTCTACTACTAAGTATTTTGGTTGACTGGGATATATGGGAGACAGCCATGGAAAAACCCAGTCTGGGTTCAGTGGTTGGAGGAAGGGTTTAAGATGTGGAAATAGCCTGTGTGTAGCGGGGAGTCACCATAACAAAAAATGAGTATATTTTGAAATAATAAGCAATGTGGGTAAGTCAAATACTTTTAATTTGACACTTCTCTATGCTTAGCAGTGATACTCTTTAGAAACTGTTAGCAATATTACTAGGGATATTATTTAAAAAAAACACAACAACAAACTCCTCTTGGAAATTCAGTATCATGGTATTTAGGATATTGATAATAGAGATACATTTTCTTCACTATTTATCAATGTTTGTTTTAAAATAAACCTAAGAAGCTGAATGATTTTTTTTTTTGCCAGCTGTCCACCATCATAATGTTGTTTAGAGAAGTCAGCTTTTTTACTGGATACTAAAAAATCATGTTTGTATGTTTTGAAAATGTTTCTCTCTTCAGACTGTGTTTATGATGGTGGCTATAGTTAAATAATGTACAGAATTGGAAGGTAGAGGTTTTGTAATTTGTTTTTCTTCTCCATTTTTATAGCCTTCTCTTCTAAGAAACATTTCCAACTGACCGAGTAAAAAACAAGGAAGCAAAAAAGCCTTAACAAGAAAACAAACCAAAACGAAAAATGCCAGAGTACAGTTTCCCTGGGAAAGTTAAGACTAAATAAGTATACAATAATAAAGATTAGCAGCAGAAGAAGTGATTTATTAGACAATCTTTACTTAGGAAAGCTGCTTAACTCTTACAGCAGTCAGTGGGATTAAAATTTGTGCTTAACTTGAAGCACATCCCAAGGGCTTTCCTCATTTACATTTTACTTGCTCAAAGAAGATTTGCATCCTTTTTTTAGGTACAGTGGATAATGTAGCAATTTGAGCACAAATAAAGCATTCCTAAAGCAAAACAGTGCATCAGAATAGTGTTTTAAGAATTAAGTGCTTCCTTACTGCTTTCATAGTGTTTAAAATTTTTTATTTCTGGCTCTTTTCCAATGTGGAAGGAGTTTGTTTTCAGAGAAATATTGTTGCCAAGGGACGAATGTTGACTGTGTTGTGTTTAAAACAGGCTGATATTAATTACATTCTTTTAGCTATTCTTCTCTGGATAACTTTAAAAGGTTCCTTCCAATTTCCAGAATACTTAGGTAAGCTCTCAGAATGCAAACGCCGTGTCTTGTCAGTTATGTGAAGAACTCATTAAATAACTGGCAAGAGCTGAATTCATTTTTGTGGACAGTCAAGAAAAGTTGGTTTCAGATGATTACACTAATTAAGAACATACAACAGCATTATTGAGTGCAGTGATTCTCTTTTGATCTTTAAAGTCTTTAGCTGAGCCAGTTGTCAGACAACCTGTGTGGAGAGCTGCTAAGTGCTTTAGACCAGAGGAAGAGGCTGATTTTTTTTCAAGACCTCTTCTGTGATCGGGGAAGCACAATCTGCAGCCAAGTCAGTGTTTGGGGTTTTCCAGTTTCCCATTGATAATGTGGACCTAATGTTTTGCATTGGGTTTTGGTTCTTTCAGGGATCAGGCTGAGTTAGTTACTTGCCTCTTCTAAGGAACAGTTTTGTGCAAGCCTCCTTGAGCTAAGCTAGTACTTGTGGTCCCACTGATGGGACTGTTACTGTGCCCACCAGAACCTGCATCGTAGTTTTGAGCTTTTACTCCAACAAGCTCCTGAAGGCTCATGTTTCTTAGTCTTCTGCTTATCTCAGATAATTTTTTTCTGTACTAGGAAAAAAGCTGCTTTCCAAGTATTTGTGCTTAATACCCCATACTAGAAGATATACTTGAGAGAGCATAATGTACACAACTGTGCAGAGCTCCCCTTGGGGTGTCAGTCCAGCTGCCTTGCCCTGCTTCTACCAGAGGCCTGGAGGAGAATAAAATAAGCTGAACCAAAGCAGTTGGATCTTCCCTGCCAGTCCTCTCCTCAGACTTTCACATCCCCTTGCAGACTTGTTTTTTGAGCCTTCTTATCCACTCCTCTCATCCCTCCTTCAGTGGGATGAGCTCAGTGTGTCCTGTGAGTTTCTGTGAGAAGAACTCCAGCATGGTTTTATGAGTCTGAGCTCCAGCCCTGCTTGATTGCAGCCCTGGCTGCTTGCTGGCCAGTGAGTGATTGATCCTCCCTAGACCTACCTGGATGCGGCCTGATAGTTTATGCTCAACTTCTGAAACCTTCTTGGGGAGCCTTCTGGACATGGGTGAAGACAAGCTTTAGTGATCAAATTGTTGTTTTAACAAAAGGTCATATACTTTTTGCCAGTTATGAGTTCTCAATAGACTTTCTTCCCTCCTTTCAGACTCCAGAAGCCAGCTGTGCTGCTTACTTGAATCCCTGTGTGAAATCCCCCTTTCTCTCAACTTTCCTGCCAGTCATGAACGCTGTTACTCATTAGCCTGTTTCTGCTTTCCTGAAAACTTTCTTTAATCCTGACATCTCTCTGGAAGTTTCTTCTGATAGAGATAAGCATTTGCTTATCATTTTGAGAAATTCTGCAGGTGTAGCTGTTTGAAAAAATAAATGTTAGTCATCCCAGTTGTCCCTTAAAAGATGGCCCTTATATTCAGGAGTTCATGTTGACTTACAAGAGATGAATGTGCATTTGCAGTGAAGTTGTCAAAGACATATTAATCAGTAAATTGGCACTCAACTAGGGAACATAAGTAGTTGCCTACATAAACCTCTACTATCTCATTAGCATTCTGTTTAAATGGCTTTATATTTCTTTTTTTTTTTTCCTTTTCTTTAGACAACTTCAACGGAAATTTCCGAGTATTCATCCGATAACAACAGTGTGGGAGAAGCAGAGACAGACCTGGTGACCACTACTCTGGGGTCCAGTAGGAGGTTACGGTCGCGGTCAGGAGCGGAGAGGGAGGATGTCACGGCACGACCGGCCAGCGAGTGGCTGAGGTCTGCCCAGGCCCTTCTCCGCACCCCCGGGAAGCAGGTGGGCAAGGCCCCCCGAGCCCCTGCTGAGTCCGCCAAGAAGAGGAAGCTACTGAGGTAAACACACTGTCTGCCTTAAGAATTGATTTTATTTTTTTTGGTGATTGTAAGTGGAGGGATGCGTTTCAAGGATAAACATTTTAGAGGTGCAAAATCCAAAACCTGCCATTTACGTGTTAACTGAGCAAACAAGGTGAGAAAGAACTCGGTTCAGTTTTAAAATCTGTGGTGAAAGCTCTTGATCCTAAACTGCCGTGTACAAATTGATATGTTTTTTGCACTTCTGATGCTGCTTTACAGTGCTTTAAAGATGTGTGGAATGTTTTTGGTCCTCTCCAGATTTATCAGGGTAAAATAATCAAAAAGACTGCAGGAAAGGAGGGTGGGATGAGCAATAGTGCTGAATAGTGCAGGACAGAGTGGTATTTAGGCAAAAGTGGGATGTATTTGTTAATCTGAAATTTAAATCTCTGTGTCTTAATTAAATACATTAAAAAATATCTTAACTGCTGAAAGAATACTGAGCTTGAGCAGTGGAAGCCTGATGTTCATAATTCACTATTTCTCTAGATAATTATAGTGCAGAAGTGGTCACCTCCTATACTGAATTAACGACAGTTGCTTTGATTTAAATGGTATAAATGAAGGTGTGCCTAAAGCTATGGAGACTGCAATTACTATTGGTACTGCTGCTGCTATCTGCTGTATTTTTAACAATGTGGTTCTTTCTTACTTTTTTAACAGGTGATTCTATGTACCATAATTAATGAATTACTTTAAAAGTAAATCTTCACTTTGGTTAAATAGCTGTACCTTATTTTTCTCTAAAAATGTTCTTGGCTGTTTCAAAATACTGACTGAAGGAACAGGTGTGAAAGTCCTAATTACTAGGCATCTCTATACTTAAAAGTGCATTGCTTGTTTGATCAAGTTTTAATTTTTATTACTTTAGAAACATAAACAGACACCTGTATTAGGTCAGACAAAAGCTGTTAACCCTCAAAAATGCCTTTTATTGGCCAAAAGCAAGTATGTGTGAAGGTAATAAGAACAAGACAAGCATATAGTGGTATTATATCCAGAGGCACTTCCAGCAGTTTACTGTTCATGACCTGTTTGTTACACTCAGTGGGTTTGTCTTTTCATGATTTTGCCCAGTAGTTTTCTGAAGCCATAAAAACTTTTGGCTACTGCAGTAACATCCCAGGGTTCTGTAGCTTAAACGTTACTTGAATTTTCACCTACCAGCTTAATTTGATGACCTCTCCTATCATCAGTCTTTATGCAAAAATATATTTTACAGCAAAGATACTCTGAAACAAGCATGTAAGAGAATAAATAGCTTTAAAAACAAACAAAACCAAACAAATCACAGCAATATAGAATGTAATCTGTCTGGAGTGGCCAGAGGAACAGAGTTTGCAGGGTTTTTTACTCTTCCATCCTGTGGTTCTGCCTTGGGTTCCTTTGGGAACAGGGAAGCAGGCAGGAAATTCCTCAGCTATGAGTTTTGTTTATGTAGTTATTTTGCTTGTCCAGGTAATTGTCATCTTTTCACTCTTCCTGTTCAGGGCATTAATTCCATATCTCTCTTTCCCATCCTTCCTTTTACTGTTAATGGAGAGCATTTTCATTGGTGTGCTAACAGTGGCTAGAAGATTCTGCATCCTTGATAGGAAAGCTCAGGTTTTCAGTGCTGTGACTGAAGGCCAGTTCGGGGAGAAGTTTATCAGCTTTTTGATTGATGAAGTGACAACTCCTTTCTGGTTATGTAGCTAAAAGTTACATACTACTTGTTGGTTTGTCCTTTCTCCTTCCTTCCGGCCTCTGGTGCAGATTGAGGCCACAGCAGAAAAAGCAGAAAGCTGAAGTCATTATGGAAGCTGGATCTGGCTCACAGACTCTCACTTGGACCATTTAGAACCATGCAGTAGGTAGAGAACAGCTAAAAGCCTCTGCTTAGCTGGGCTCTCTTTTTCCAGGCTGGTGCCTCAGGAAGCATGGGTTGAGTGAAGATGATGCAGATGGTAGAGCTGCCATCTTCCTATGTGAATGCCTGTGTGAGACTGCCTACTCCAAATTCAGACCATATTAAGGTCTCTTAATGAAAGAGTCCTTGATGTAGGTAGAATAGAATAGAATCATAGAATCATTTGGGTTGGAAAAGACCTTTGAGATCATTGAGTTCAGCTGTTAATACAGCATTGCCAAGTCCACCACTGAACTGTGTCCCTCAATGCCACATCTACACAGATTTTAAATGCCTCCAGGGATGATGACTCCACACCCTGGGCAGCCTGTTCCAGGGCCTGACAACTCTTTTGCACTTTTCCCTAATATCCAGTCTAAACCTACTCTGGCACAATTTGAGGCTGTTTCCTCTCACCCCATCTCTTTTTTACTAGGGAGAAGAGACCAAACCCCATGTTGCTCTAGCCTCCTTTCAGGTAGCTGTGGGGAGTGAGGAGGTTGCCCCCCAGCCTCCTTTCCTCCAGACTAATCAAGAAGGTGCTGCCGAGGGCTGGCTGCTTAGGCTGCAGCCAGCACCGTGTCACTTCCAGCACCTGAGGGGGAGGCCACCACCCATGAGGCTGGTTTGAAGCCTTCCTTGCTGGGTTGCTGCCCCTTGGCCTGTTTAGTTGGATAGGCCTCCAATGGTTTGGTTTCCACTTTTAAGAAAATACAGATTATTTCTGTTTTCATGTATCTGCTGTTTGAAATGACCAAACTGATCTTCAGAAGTAGAATATTTTCCAAAACAATGCTAGCTTGTATTTTCTGAAAAAGTCACGTGCCGTGTGCAACAGCCACTTCAACATTCTGCAATCTGCATTTACATTTGTGTTACCTAAATTCTTTTTTAATATTTGAGTGGCCGATTTTAATTTAATAATAACATGATATTGGGAAATTCAGTTTAATTATCTGAGATCTACTTTATATGCAGACGACTTACAGATCTCATCTGTTAAAATTAACTTTTATTATTAAAAGAGGAGAAAATTGCAGAATGTTCTGGCACTACATGCCATGAAACGAAACCCAGTTGTCACATAAGGCCAACTGATTTTAACTGTTGGATTAAGCTTTCGCTGTTAGTGAATTTTTTGTTGGATTAGGAGTGTATAACTGAAGCATATAATGGCTGCACTACAGATGTACTACATCTAATCACTGGAAGTGTTTTCTTGCACCTCCTGGAAGTTAAAATGTCTTTTCTTTTTTAGAAGTGCAGATGGTTTCTTTGGGCCAGTTGTTTGATATTAACAGGGAAAAAAACTTTTTTTTTGTTTTTTTTTTTTTAAATCTTATCTAAAATTACAGATTTCTCTAATTTCATGTGTAATGTATCTTACTGATGGGAATGGTTTAGCAGGGTACAGTTGTTGCTCTTCAGAGAGAAGTAATTTTGGTGCCTTTGGTTTGTTTAACTATGGAGCTTGCTTTTCTATGCAAGTTAAAACCTTCAAAACTGAAGGGAAGGCTATTCCCTTATCTTGTGGGGTATGGCTGTTACCCCATCAAAACTGGTTCCTGCAGAGTGTTCCCCTTAACTTTGATACTCTATTCTATGAGAAATCGTGCATGTGTTTTTTTTAATTAATTTTTTTTTATACTGGCCAAAAAAGGGATAACTTACTTCTAGGAGTCCCTCCTTATTAAATAATCTATTTCTGCTGAGAGCCTCTACTTGTAAGAGACTTAGAACAATCTGAAACACTTTTTTTCTGTTAAGGATTCTGAAGAGCTAGAGAGCTATGGTAAACTTTTCATCTGTGTACTTAAAGTCTTTCACTGGGGGCCATGCAGGATGTAGAAAGTGCGCACCCACCCTGTTCTCAGCAGTTAGTATTCCCTCTTACTTTTCTTCCTTTGCACTGTCTGAGGCAACTAGGACCTGGAAACCAAATCTCACTACACAAGAATGATGGAGCTTTGGTGTCTATGACAAAGAAATACTTTTTATTTGCAGGAGTAATTGAGGTATAGTGTCCAGACACTGCTTGCAAAAGTTTTATTATTAAAGGTGGTATTCAGGATGTCTCTAGTATACGCTGGTTGGAGTTTACAGCTGAAGACACTGAATTTTCCAGATGGTCACTTGTGTCTAATGCAGTTGCTGAAAGATACTTCCAACCCTCACTGTTCTGTGGGGACTCATGAAAATGGTATATTTGTTCCACATATGTTTTATGAAGGTGACTTCCTTTGTCTGGAACAATTGAAAAAAGAGTGGTGAGAGACTACATGGACTCGTAAAGACTTTTGGCTTTACTGAACTCTTTTAAGAGGCTCCAAATCTTTGAATCCTTAAGACTCTTGAAGAGGCTTTTGGTATATCCGCCTTGTTGATTTGGCTAATGTAAAAAAAAACAACCTTTCTGGGTGAGTACAATAGATCAGAGGATTCAAATGTGAACAACTGGTATGCAAGAAAATCCAGCATCCAGTGCAGTTTGCTAAATCACTGCATTGCCTGTTGACTCAGTTTGTATTTTTTTTTCAAATAAATGCGGAAAGTCTTTTATTTGGCAGACACAACTGGCCCTTGATAACTGTATGTTTTAAATTATCTTGTGTGTTACAGTACAGATCTGCCATTTTCCTTTCATTTGAGGTTTGTACCTCAGGTGCTGTTAATTTGACATGGAAATTGTGCTTCAGGAGAATCACTGATGCTTTTCCAAGGGTAAAAAACCCTAAATTTGTAGCAGAGTATAATTACTTGACAAGTTTTATGGGGACTTAAAATATTGCTGTCTACTTTGGTCTTTGCTTTTTCTATCACATAGGAAAAGAAACTGGTTTTTTTGCTTTGATTGCCCACATCTAACTAACAGAATAATGCCAGCGATCGTAATAGTGATGGTTCATCAAAGGTGAAAGTTTATGAATCTCGTTGTTGAGTCAGAGCTGGAGCAGGGCTGATTTGTAAAGCTAAAATTACTCTTTCTGATGCCGTGTTACTTCACAAAATCAACAACTTCTCTTCAGTGCTGGAGAGGGGGTGTGCTTCTGTAGAGGAGACTTGCACTTGGCTGGCCAACATTCTTCAACCACATATTTCGTACATACCCGTGCTGTTTTGTACACTAAAGAAACACTCAGTAGTGACTGTCAGCATTCAGTGTTTCTTATTGTTTTGCAAGTTTTTAGCTGATAAAGTTTTAGCTGGTTTTTAGTGTTGACAAATTAAATGCCAGCATGCTTAGGGGTCCTTTTTTCTTCTTTAGCAAGCACTCCATGGAGTGGAAATGGACAGCTGAGTATTGCAGAAGTTAATTACTTCCCCAGTTAACATGTAAATATGAGAGGAGTTCTGTCCATGCTTTGAAAAAATAAAAGGAGGGAAATTGCCCAGTCCTGAGATGGGGGTATATATTTGTGTAACCTATTGTGTCTTTAAATACATGGAGTCCTGAGTATTGTGTATATGAGGAAGGAACTCAGTACTGAGATGCATGAGTGTTTGACTGTGCTTAAATTCAAATGAAGACTAGAAAGGAGTAAACTTGGATGAACATGGGTTTTCTTTGCCAAGTGCCCCACTGAATGAAAACCTTAATAAATAAATGCAGAGATATCTGTTATTTCTTTTTTTTTGCTGTTTGTTTGTTTGTTGTTTTGGGGTTTTTTTCTATTAGCCTCATTGGAGTTGGAAGGTAGGGACCAGCAGCCTGAGGGTCACAGAATAGGCTCAGTGTTACCTTTTGGTGATACTTTGGTCTTGCTGTTGAAGTTTGTGGAAAGGGGCAACCACCAGAAACAGCTTTTGTGCTAGATACTGAACTTTCTCAGGGTCATCAAAGCTGTCTTTCATGGGGGTATTGTTGGACATGGGCAGTAATGGCAACATGTTGTTTTAAATACAGTATTTCAACAAGCTTAGACTTAGTACAGAAACGGGACATGGATTTCTGTTGGTTAAATCTGTCTGCCTTTAGGGATTTAAAGGAACAAAATAGTTGTACTGAAAGTTTCATGATTAAAAATGAAAAGGTTGTGTGCAGTGGAGATTCTGTCTGAGCAGTCTGGCTTCACTGAACAGCCTTTGCATTAACAATTTGTCAAATGGGCTCAGCTTGCTCATATTAAAAATTTTGGGGGCAAGTTTGAAGTGTTGGTCAGTAAAGTTTGCATCTCAAATGATTATTATTTAAATACTGTTTTTCTGTTCCCTTGATTGCAGAAATCGTACATTAGTAATAAAAATATATTTGGTAGATATATATTTATATATACACACACATCAGATGTTGGGTTCATCATGGAGGACAATTAAATACATCATAGGGGCTAGAACTGTGCAAAAACAGAAGAACTGAGTATCTTTTTCTGAACTTCTTCAAGCAGCTACATGCGTAAATAAACACAGACTGCAGATTAACCAAGACCTGGTACTGTAGAATCCCATCTCCACCTTTGATGTCTGCAAGTATCTCATATCTGGCAAAGTTAAGTCAAACAGTGTCTGTAGCCTGAAGAGCCAGGAAAGCTAGGCAATTTTTCTGAGTCATAATGTGTGGCCAGTGAAGAGTGTCTATATTATTAATCTCTATCTTGCACTACCAAATAAGAAGCAAGTTACTCCCATATCATAGAATCTGTAAAAAAAAATTATAAACCCAGTTAACTACCAAAGACTGAATATAAAAGCTCACTAGGCATTTAACAATCTACAGATGTACAATTTAGAGTAAAATAGCAGTAATTTTAACCATTTAGCTTTTTCAAAACATGGAGTTGGTCTTTACACAGAAGCAGGCACCTGCTTAATACCATGCTCTGCGTTGTGTAAGCTCTCTGTAACTCTTATCTCTCAGCTGCATCGCCAGGAGTGACTCTCTATAGTTCACAGTATCTCACTACACATACACAAGCATTTTCAACAGTGTGGGCACCTGTATTGTATGATAAGGAATTAGTGGTTTTCAAACACTGTTGTCATAAAATCTATTAGAATATGTAACAGAAACATCTTTTTCTTTGTTTTATGTATTTAACCTAAACAGGGGGTTGGTCCTGTGTTTAGGGTGGTGTTTAAATTTAGTTTGTTTCTATTTTATTTTATTTTTTTGTAAAGCCAACCCCAGAACTACCAACTCTCTCTCATGATAGAAATTCCTTTTGTGCATGGCATGTCCCTGAATTGTATTTTCCAATTTCAATTTCCAATGTATGAAACAGACATTATAAGAAACCTATTTCCAGTCACCAGCGGAGAACATCTCCTAAACGCATTCTTGGTTGTATTTTATATTCTGCAACCAAGCAGATGCAAAATGCTTTATGGTGTTTTGTATTTAAACTATTTTTAACTGCATTTGGAATGGGAATGGAAGCATGGTGATAAATAAATATCAATTAATTTTATTAACACAAAGGGCTGCTACAGGAAGGCACAGTTTTATTTTTTCATGGACCTTTGTGGTAACTCTAATACAGACATGGTTAGCAAATTAGTAATGAAGTTCTAAGTGTCAGTGAGACAGTCCCTGGGAGGCATATCAGGCCTGAAACAGGAATGGTGTGTTACTGTTTTGTGCAATAGCCACAAAACCAGGAACTTGCTTTACTTCATGCTACAGGGTGTTCCTGTGACAGGCCAAACATTAGTGGCCTTACGGAAGATTGACTGGACACTGCCATGGCCCTGTTCAGGGAAAGGGTGGGAAATATGGCTGTGAGCCAGCCATAGCTGCTTTCTTGTGCACGTACCTTAAGCTTTCTAGCATTATTTGAACAAAGAAAATACATCTCTGTGATTGTTGTCAGTGGAAGGAATGGAGTAGGGATTTAGAACACTCCTGTTGAACTGTTTTCTTTCAGAAAACAAGCTTTTAAGTTACGAGCTGTATTGTGTATGTCTGCAATCCAGTCACAGAGTCTGGTTGCAGACTCTTGCAGGCCAACTCGAAAAGAGTTTTATCTGCTGCATTTCTAAGCCTAGCTGAGATGGCATCTGCGTGGCTCATGTAGACCAAGCAGTAAAGCTGAGTTACAACTGCATCTAACAGTTCCCTAGCAAGTGCAACTGGGTGGAGTTTGCTGGAGTTTGTAGAACTGTCTTGCCCACAAGTGTTGTGGTGCAATAATTCTTGAGTGCTCAAGTTTTGTGGGAAATGTGGCTGAGCAGAGTGTTACCAGTGGAATAAATGATCTTATATGAAGTTCTGTGCTTGACTGTGCTGCTCTTGGTGCCAAGGATTCCATTGGACTTCTCTGTATTAGTTGCTCCTCTGTCTTAAAGTCCATGTTGAAATCAGGATTAAACAAAGCTGTTAAGCTTACCTGAAAGCTTACTGGAGCCCATTTTTTTCCTAAATATTTTTGTTTATATATTACATATATATTGTATGTGTGTATATGTAAATATATTTATTGGAAGGGATGCAATCCAGAAGGACCTTGACAGGCTTGAGACATGTGCCCATGCGAACCACATCAAGTTCAGTAAGGCTAAGTGCAAAATCCTGTACCTGGGCTAGGGCAGTCCCAAGCACAAATACAGGCTGGGCAGAGTATGGATTGAGAACAGCCTTGAGGAGAACTACCTGGGGGTGTTGGTCAACGAAAAGCTCAACATGAGCTGGCAACATGGGCTCACAGCCCAGAAAGCCAATGGCATCCTGGGCTGCATCAAAAGAAGTGTGGCCTGCAGGTCAAGGGAGGTGATTCTTCACTTCTGCTCTGCTCTCGTGAGACCCCACCTGGAGCACTGAGTCCAGATCTCGAGCCACCAACACAAGGTGGCCACAGAGCTGTTGGAGTGAGTCCAGAGCAGACCCAAAAAGAAGATCAGAGTTTCACATTTAGAATGTGAGCTTTATAAAACTGGCTTTTTTTTCTAATCCAAAAAAATTAACTTATGTGCACAAATGATCAGAATGTGGTTGTATGTTACCTCTGTTGATTCCTAAACCAGTTTAACCCAAGGACATATTTCACCTTAGTAGAAATCTGTGTTGATATACTGGATAGTACTTGTGGGAAAACTTACACTGTAAGGAAAGAGCAGAATAGATTTTTATGCAAATAACATCTTTGGAGCCAAATTTAAATGCTCAAATACTTCCACAGTAGTTCAAAGTGCTCGTAGGAGCCCAAAGACAGCCTCCAACACGTGTGGCTTTTTGTTCTCAAAGTGAGAAATAATGTCTTCTGGTTTTGAATCCAGGGGTAGGAATTGCTTTAGTGTTACCTTAAATGTATTTGTGCTAGATGCCACTCCTCTGCTCCTCACCTTGGGAATGTTAAATTAATTTCATCTTGGAGAGTGTTCAGACCACTGAAACTGCACACTTGACCCAGCTTGTGAAATGAATCATAGGGTCAAGTATGGGTAAAAGAATATTTTTGTGATCACTCCTTGCCAACAGACAAACAAATCTGTGAGGAAAAAAATATCCCAACCTGTTATAACTGGTGGTTACAGTGGTTTGTTTTGAATTCACAATTGCCTGTAGTATCTGTCAGGCTATGTGCATAAGTGCAAAGAAAAGTTGGGAACCTTTTGTTACAATCCTTTTGTGGGAGGCAGGACTGAAAATCTGAAGATTCTGGATGCTCAGATACTGAAAATGTTTTAGTGTGTGTTGAGCTGAAGTGTATGCTTTATTGGGAGTATATCCATTGGAAAATCAAACTTAGGATAAGTAATCTGCAAAATGTAGTTTTACTGTATGTTTCTGTCTTTAAGGGTCAAAGCATACATATTCTGAATATCCAATGATTTTGTCACTTGGTAAAACTTGAATACTGGTTCCTGGCAAAACTGAGCATCCCTTTGTTCTCTGCAGGGGCGGCCTTGCTGAGAGGTTATGTCAACTGCAAAACAGACAAAGATCTGCCATTAGCTTTTGGAGGCACCAGTGTGTTTCAGATCCTAAACCTTCCTCAGGTAAGAAGCATTTATACATATACTACTGTGTGAAAGTCTGTACTTACATGTGTGTATATACGGCCCACACAGGTGTGCAACTGAAGTTTAAATTCTTTTTTATTTTTGCTTGACTTGGGTTTAATGCTCTCTTAATGGTTTTCTGATCTAACACTGCATTTCAACTAAATGTTATGGTTTGTAACGTCTCAGTCCTGGAAGTGTTTGAATGTAAGGGGAAAATAACTTTTTTAAAACAACCTCCATATAGCCTCTTCAAGACTCCTTGATTTCCAGCATCACCCGGGAAAAAGGTGTTTCCAGCAGGCTGTAGGACAATGCAAAGCTCTATTTACGGGTTTGTTTTGGATTTTTTTCTTCTTGTTTATTTATAACTACCTTTTTCTCTTTCTGTGTTAATTTTTCTTTGGTTTGAAGTCAGCTGTTATCACAAATAACTGTGAATGACAGCAAATATGTACAAATACCACACAACTATGAAATAAGTGGGCAGCATAACTACAGACGGCACTTCACTTAAAAAGAAATGGTGGGACTTACACAAATTAGTTACAAGTGACAGATTGCACCACCTTTCAGTCATATTTCTTGAGAGATAATGGATTCATAGTGTAAAGTGTAAAGAAATGGTTACATTGTTTTATCAATTTGTGTGTGCGTGAGTGTAGGCTACAAAAATTCAAGCATTTATTCTGTATTAGGCCAACTACTTGTTTCTTGAGCACATATTAACTTCCATTTCTTTTTCAGAAAGTCCTCTGGTCTTAATTTGAGGGAATCTATCACTTGTTTTGAGAGCTTGTCCTTAATTCCACTCTCAAATTTTTAAAAGTGGGTTTTCTTCCAAATCCGAGTTTGTCTGGCTTCAGCTCCTCTCTTTTGTTTCTTGTAAAGCCTTTCTCCATTAAATTAAAGAGATCTTTAGTATGTTGCATTTTCCCTTTCTGGCACTTGGACAGCAAAATCATGCTGCCTAACAATTTTTGTAAACTAAACAGACTGAGTTCTTTAAGGCTCTCTAAAACATTTTTACCAGCATTCAAATGATTTGCATGGCTTTTTACTGCACCCTTTCAAACTTTTCAGCATGATCTTAAGAACAAGGACAGCTACTCTGTATGTATTCTTCCAGTTTTAGTCTCATCAAAACACTTGGCCAGGTCCAGTTCAATACTCAGTCTCCTTTATGTTCAAGGCCTGTAATTGGACTTTGAGTCTGGTTTGACTTTGGTCACAGTGTGATGCTGGGACCTCACATTGAATTGATTGTCCAGTATTATTTCATAACTTCTGTAGTTGCTGTTTTCTGAGATCCAGTTTCCCATTCTCCAGCTGCCATTTGTGTTTCTTCTACCTAAGCACAGGGGAAGTATTTGTGTCTTATCCAGGTCTCCTTCATTTGAGTATGCCCAGCTAACCATGCAGCTCAGATCATTGTGTATGTCAAGCCTGTCCTCTTTTAGTTTCAAGTTTGCTTGAATTTGTGGCATCCATGCAGTTTCTTATATTATTTTTTAACTTATTTTTATATCATTGATGAAACCGTTTAATAGTATGAGTGTGTATTTTCAAGTCCTGCAGGAACTGCTCTTACTTAATTATGATTCTCCACTGGTAAAAAACTCTTAACAGTAGTTCACAAAATTAGTTCTCTGATATAGATATAGATGTAGATATAGATATAGATATAGATTTGCATTTCACTCAAAGGGTACATTGCTGATAATGAAAATGATTTTTTTTTTTGTAAGAAGGTTGTGCAATTTTAAGTCACACCCAAAGAGTTGGTTAAAGCTAGTCTCACAGTTTCTCACTGGAGCTATAGAGGGCTTATAACTCATGACCACTTGCATGCTACCTATGCAAAATGCCACCCATCTGGGCTCCAATTATTGTAGATCCCTTTGTTTGCCCTTCCTGAATACTAGTACAATATCATCATCCTGTCAGTCTTCTGGCATTTCCCCGATATTTGTAGAGTCACTAGAAAATAATATCAGCGAACCAGAAATGTCTTTAGCCAACTCTTTTCAGAACTTCTATGTTGCAAATTATGCAGGCATGATGACTTAAAATCAGTCAAGCCTTCTGTATGTTTTTTTACCCTCCATCTGAGTTACTAATGGATAGGAGAGGTTACTTTATCATTCTCCTGTGGTATGGGGATCTCCTCTTGCTTTTTCTTAATGCTGAACAGAAGTTGATATTGAATTGGTCTGTCTTTTTAACAAAATGTTTAATGTTCTCTATAGTAATGGACTTCCAGCATGGCTAAGATGCTAACATTCTTTTTTTCCTAGCTTCACATGTGTCATTACAAAACCTTGTGTTTGGCTGCTTACCATTTTGCTAGACTTCAACTCCTAGGCTGAAATATTCCATGCTAAATATCTGCCTCTGGCTGAATTCCTTTCTTTGATTATTCTTCTTTCTTTCAGAAAATGAGTCAGAATTCGTTAGCATTTTATGAGAAAAAGGCTATGGGAAAATACCTTGCTCTGTTCTAAAGTACATTTTAAAAATTCTGATGAGTGTCGTGATGATTTACTTTTGGCAGAAGATAAGCCATTTCTGGGATATGCCTTTTGTCATTATAGTGAAATTCTACAAGAACTTGGGCAGGTTACAAGTCTTTAGGACAAACTACTGTTTCATTTACCATGTGTGCTAAAATTTCCATAAGTTACTGAACATGCCATAATTTAGAAATACACTTCAACTTCACAGCCTAGATTTCACTTCCAATTCCCAGTCATTATTACAAAGCATGAGGTTGATAAAAGAATCATTAAAATAGCTGTGATCATATTGTGGGAATATTTTTTCATATAGAGCAAAAATATTTTTTGATAGTTTTGTTCTTAAAATTGGCCATGCTGTTTTGTCTCACCAAAATGAAAGTGCTGTTTGGTTTGGAAAATGCCAGTCAGAATGGGTGAGATTTTACTGATGTAACTTGATAACCTTCTAATTGTTTCCAGTCTGGAAATGTGAAGTGTCAGCATAGTAAATGCACACCACTTTGAGCTTTCATATTTTTATGTTCCTACTAAGGGTGTCTCACTTATCTGAGATTCTTCCTGAATTTTGTTTCCCCTCTGTTTTGCCTAGCAATATTTCTAAACGACTCTGTTTCCAGGACTGTTTCTGACCTCAGCAACAGAAGTAGGGGAAGGAACTTTTCAAATGACAGATTCAAAAGAGTTATCAAAGGAACCCGAAGATGAATGCAGAGGATTGAAGTAACTTAATTGCTGGTGACCTGTGATGTCATTTTGGATATACCATAGACATGCAGACCAGAAGTTCATTGCTAAGGCGAAGGGGAGCAATTTCAAATTAGAACAGTCTGAAGTCCTCCTTCCATTTGAGATTAAAGGAAGGACACTTCCAGAAGTGTGGGCTGTTCCCCCCGTTAGGCATTTCACATTAGAGAATTTTATGCCTTTGTTTTGCTGTTGTTTACTTTTATATTGTATCAACATCCATGTTATCCAAAATCCTCTTGCTTTGGCTTTATTTTTTAAAAATGCCTTTCTGTTTGCTCCCCTGACCCCTTTCTGTAAGTAACCATTGTGGTTTGGCTGTCTCTTGGTCCCTGGGATGAATCACTACCCCCGAAGATAACACCTCCTTTCAGCACAGACTTTCTGGTTTTTGTGCAGTGCATGGAGGCCTCACTGTTGGCTGGCTCACTCCACAGGGCAGAAGAAATCTTTGTGCTTTCTCCATTTTGATAGTTTTGGGTCAAAATGGCATTTGGCAGCCTATTCCTGTGTTGGGATAGACACTCACTAAGGATGTGCATTTTTGCAAGGTGATTGGTAATTCCACTTCTGTAATCAAGCTGACCATATCAGGCAGAGGCTTGAAAGGAGAAGACCAAAGCTTGCCCATGCTACACAGTGTTTGTTGGATGCTTGCTGTGGTTTAGTTCTAACAGAGATGGATGTCAGGCTCTTTGCTGGAAATCCAGAATATTGTTTTCTTCACAAGATGTGAAATAGAGGCTGAGAGGTGTGCATCCCTGTAAGAGCAAGTCTCTGATGAGTCAAGCTGATGGTTTGAGAGTACTATGTGCAAGGGCTTTCAGACCATTTGCAAGCTTTTTTTTTATATGCCATGCTGCAACTTCCCTGTGAAGTTTCCTGTTTGGGCAAAGAGGAGATCTGGACAGTTGAGAGAGAGAGGGGAAAAAAAAAGCAACAAACAAAACAAAGCCACAACAAAACCCGAACCTTCTTCCTGTCAACATCTGCTGCATTGCATGATACAGAAGAAAAAATAAGTGCTTTTCTGAGTTACATTCAGACAGCTTCCCTGTCTATAGCACAAGACATTAAAAATACTTGAAACAGACTCATGTAGATTCCTCTGTAACTTCTGGAATTATATTTTCTATCAATTTTATTTTCTATTGGTTTTTTTCCTTGCAGTTATCAAAGCAGCTCTTTACCTAAAATGCAGAAACATACTATTCTCTAGCCTTTGTAATCTGATAGAAGATATCTGGTATCTGTTGTCCTGAGATTAAGATTTGGGATTAGATTAGAATTGAATTTGTATAATAAACTGATAATAAACCCAAACCATTGATGTTTCCTTCCAAACTGCTCCTTCCTCTCAGGGAAAAGTGACCTTTAAGGGGCAACGACTCTTGAGTTTGCTGAGGCAAATAAAACACACACATGAGGGGAGGAGGCTGGGAAGCCTTGGGAGACGAGGACAGGGTTTCACATGTAACACCACATTTTCAGAAAGCCTCAAAGGCTTACAGAAGAGGACATAAACAATCACTCCCGTCTTTCCAGTTTCAGTGACTAGTTACAGTGATGGGAAGAAGGGATTTTAGCAGCTTGAGTGCCATGAGATTTGCAGAAAAGTTCATCTCTGTGGAGGAATAAAGCAAGAGTAGTTCTTGGCAGGGTTTCCTTTTTACCATGCAAAATTCTTCTAAAAAAACACAAGTCTGAGCTTTGCTACTTGTTGCTTATTTTCTT